GCCTCCCGGCGCCGCGCGTCACCGCTCGGCCCACCTCCTCCGCAGCCAATCAGTGCTCTCCTCTGCATCCGGTCCGTGCTCCCGGGGGAAACCTGTGGCCCCAGACGCGGAATCCGGGACAGCGTGTGCAGTCAGCGTGCACGAGTGCGGCTGCGGTGCAGAAGAAACCAGACGATGGGAGGGTGGGGGCCATGAGGGGCGCGCCGTCAATCATTTGGCTGTAGTCGTGGCGCTGCCGCTGTCGCGTGTGTTACCTTTAGCACCTTATGACTTACAAAATGCTTTTCTATGAATGATCTCACTTGGACCTCAAAACAACCCAGGGAGCCTGGCGGGGAGGAGATGAAAACTGGGAGAGGGTAGAGGAATTCGCCCCAGGTCCCAGACTGGGCGGCGGGGCTCGCTTGGGTCAGAGGCCGGCCCAGGCCGGGCTCCACCGCCCTTCTGCTCGGAAACCGAGGACAAGTTGAAGCACGGGTGATTGTCTCGGTCAGCCCCGATCTCGGGTTGAGATCCACTTGCCTGGTCTACTCTTTTAAGAGTGTCGACGGTTGGGGCTTGGAAAAACGGGAAGATGCTGGGGAGAGGGGCGGAGTTTACGGAAGACGTTAAGATTGAGGAAGCCAAGAGAAAGGAGTAAATTCAGAGGGTTACTTTGCGGTTTCTTCTGCTACAAGCCTGACTGATGTAAGGGGAGAAGTTGCATCTGAAAAGGAAAGCCAAAGAAAAAAAAGAAAAAGAAAAGCTTTAGACAGAATGGCAGAAACTCTAGGCAAATAACGCTTTATTTGTGAGTGCCCCCAAGTAAGCACCGGGCAGGGCGCCTGGCGCATCTAGGGGCTTGGCTAATTGGCGCCCGCTCAAATTACAGCGTTGGAACCAGCGCCCCAACACACCCAAAGCAGAGGGCCTGGAATAAAGACTTACTGAGCCTGAGTCCGGTGCAAGCGGATGCTGTTTCGCCAGCTCCCAGTTCCCCTGGGGCCTTACCATTAGCTGCAGCTTCTTCCTCCAGGTATCTGCGGAGCTCACCGCTGGTACCCCAAGGACTCCTTCCCAGTGAGGCCTCCCTGACCCCTGATGTAGGAAAGGTTGGAGTTTGGAGCCGATGGCCAAGAAAGAATTCTTGAGACATCTTTGGTGCAAAAAGGTGCTTTAATTAAAGCAGCGGGGACAGGACCTGTGGGCAGAAAGCACTGGGGTCAGGAAGAGTAGCCTGTTACATACTTCCAAGTTGGGAGGGGGTTAGGGATAGGGTAAGTCTCTAAGGACTTTTGGAAGCAAGGTTTCCAGGGCCTTGAGGGGGCTAGCTAGTGTTGGGAAAAGGTCATTTATTGCTGTCTAATAAAACCTGAGTCATGACACCCTTCATATGTGTATCAGTGGGCCATTTGCTTGGAAGATGATTGCCAACACGTATTTGGGGGGGGGGAGGGTTAGAGATAAAGGAAGTTTCCAAAGGAACTTTTATATGTTAAAGAAGACTTACAGGATCCTGGGGGTGTCGGGGTAATGTTAAGCTAAGATTGCCTTTTGCCGTTAGCAAAGTATTAATGTTGAGGCAGTTGAGTCCCTAGAGAAATGTCACTAGGACTTGTCAATGGGCTGTAGGTAGTAAGGAAATTTAATTTCTCTTTTGCCCCTCTGTTTCCCACATGAACCCCTTCCCTGCCTAATTTTCCTAAAACCCTAGCACTCAGCAGGGGCTAGGCAGTGCTTCTCAAACCTGAAGCCGCCTGTGAATCATCTGGGCATTCTGCCACAGGTGTACACTCAGCTGGCTCAGGATGGGTCCCCGCGTTTCTAACAGGTTCCCACATCGTGGTGCGGCTGCCCTTCTGCCCGGGAATCTGTGGAGGACACTTTAAATAGAAAAGATCAAAAACACTGTACTATATTTTCATACTGATCTTTTTTTACTTCCTTCCTCCCTGCACCAGAACGTAAGTTCAGAAGGGTAAAGATTTGGTCTATTTTGTTCCCTGCTAGGACTCGAGCCGAAGGCAGACGCTTAACCGACTGAGCCACCCAGGCATCCTGAAGATAAATTATTTTTAAAAGCACCATACAGTTCAAAAGTAGAAATTGTGCAGATCACAATATCTAGCTGCAATGCAGTTAAAACTAGTTATTACTAGTAATTAATATTCTAGTAATTATATATTTGAGCATTGCGAAGAGTAGATCTTAAAAGTTCTCATCACAAGGAAAAAATGTGTAACTATGTGATGGGTGTTAACTAAACATCGTGGTGATCATTTTGCAAGATATACATGAATCAAATCATCATGTTTACATCTAAAAGTAATGCAATGTTCCATGTCAATTATATCTCAATTAAAAAACAAAGAAAAGAAAACTAAAAGCACTAGACAGTAAAGCAGGTAACTGGGACTCAATTCTCTACAACTGTTTCTGACCTACCTCTGTGTTTCCCATGGAGTTCAACATAATGCTCTCACACAGGTGGTGACAGTCAATTCAGGTCAAATAAACAAGTGTTTCCTAAACATTCCCAAACACAAATAGCCTGCCCACCCACACCTCACTCCACCAGCAAAAAAAAAAAAAAGAGAGAGAGAACACCTGTAATTAATGACAAAAGGTTAACTACCTGCAAAGGTTAGAACCCTCTAACTCTGGGGTCAAAGAGAAAGTCGAGACTGAAATGCTAGATCATTTAGAAAATTACACTGAGAACACTGACTTCTGAAAAATAAACTTGAGGAAATTAAGAGGAAGAAGTTAAGGAGGACAAAATAAAAATGGATTATTTAGAAAAGAAAAAAATCCTCGTGAACAAACAAAAAATAAAGTTTTTTTTCTAATTAAGAAAACTGGATGCGGCAGATGGTCAGAAATTGAGGGGAAAATGCAGGTGGTGCCAGGAGAAAAGAGAAAAGGAGTCAAAGCATCCTCACCTCCCCTGCTGCCTGTCACAGCCTGAGGCCACTGCCCCGCAGAGTTCACCTCTACAGCCCATCACGCGCTAGGTCTATGAGCCTGGACAAATTACTCAACCTCTCTCTGAACTTTAGTGTGTTCTTCTCAATAGTAGGGGTGATTTCTACTTTTTCAGCTACTGGTCGGAAAAGACTAAATACAGGGTGTGCATGTGGGGATAGTTGTTATGATTTGTTGATAATGAAATTAGTAATGAGAATGTTAATACCCCGTTTCACCCTATGGGAGGTCCTAAAGAAGAGTATGTGGGTCAAATCTGAGTGCCAAGGGGCGCCTGGGTGGCTCAGTCAGTTAAGTGTCTGCCTTCAGCTCAGGTCATAATCCTAGGGTCCTGGAATGGAGCCCTGCATCGGGCTCCCTGCTCAGCAGGGAGTCTGCTTCTCCCTCTGCCTACCCCCCTACCCCCCGCCAGCTTATGCTCTCTCTCTTGCTCACCCTCTCTCAAATAGATAAATAAAATCATAAAAAAAACAAAACAAAATGGAGTGCCAAGCCAGGGGCCCTGTTCACCCATGACAAAGGGAAGAAAGGCATCCAGCCAAGCAGCTGGTCAACCCGGTCCAGGAGGCTCATGCTGGGCAAGGCAAAACAGGTGCTCCCTCCTCCTCCAATGTCTCCCTGTAGGTGAATGGGGGTGAAAATGAAGGTCTCGCCATCTATATGGAGAGGGACCTGGATTCATTATTCCTGGGGTTTTTCCTCACTCTGCCAGCCTATGGTCAGATCTGAGGATGAACAACATGGACGGGAAGCCCGCTGGAGGGAAGTGGGCAGTTTTCCAGCTTAGATGCTGAGAGTGCTGATGGTGGCAGCAGTGGGATGTTTATGGAATGACAATCCAGGTGTGGACCTCTGGGTGTTTTTAGCTTCTTGCTTGCCTGTACTGGGAGAGGTAGGCCAGTTTGGAGCACCAGGCAGACAGGGGTTCTCTGCATCTGAAGGAGCTTGTGAAGGGAGAACCTGATGTGCACAAGGAGTCCCAAAGGTCACGGTACGAGGAGTGGTGCTCAGTGGCCAGCCATCCTCAGTGTCATGGCCCTGGAGGCAGAGAACAATAAAGAAATTCTAGGTATTGAGTCCAGCTTGCTCACTTGGCAACTTGGTTTGCAGGCTTTTCTTTCCTGTGGGCAGGTGAGGACATGAGGGGGAAATGCCAGGTTCCTGAACAGAATAAAGTACATAATTGCCAGATATGTGTCCATCAAAACCACATGAAGAGTAAGTCAGAAGATGTAGTGCCGTCTGTTGCATAAGCTGCCCGAAAGAACAAGGTTAGCCAGGAAGAATCTGGTATTTCCAGCTGGGGCTTTCTCTCCTTGCCCTCATGCCCTCATCTGGGTAGAGGCAGAGAGAGAACATTGCCTGGCAGCTCTCTGTGGAATCATCCCCTACATTCCATGATAATCCTCTTCAATTGTTATAATTTGGGCAAGTTGCCTCCATGCCTCAAAGCATGGGCATGTGACCTATGATTCCTATGGTGGTGTTGCCACAGACTTGGGGGAGACCTTTGTCTGAGATTACCTTTGTAAACCTGAATGCAGCCAGGGTAGGTTAGCCATCCTGTGGAGGGATCCTTCCTGAGAATGAAGCAACACTGAGGACAGCAGATCTACTCCCATGTGCTTCAAATTTTGCCAGTAGACAAACTCCCTCTCTTCCCCTCAAGCCAGAGCTTGTCTGACACTTTCAACCAGAGCAGCGCTGAT